CGATCAGTTGCGGTAGCGTCGCTGCGAGATGATGTCGCCAACCTCTTGAAAACCGTCCATAGAGGGTGGGTCTTGCGATCGTCGCCCGGGAAAATCGTCATGTTCCGCTGGCGTGTAAAGAGCCACCTTGGAGCAATGAAAGACCAGGTAGATGGGCAAGTAGGCGGGCACCTGAATGGTGAAGGAAGGTCCTTCGGGTGCATCCCCAACGGCGGCCAGGGCCCCGTCCATTTCGGGAGGAGCTTGCGAGAGAGATCCTGTTCGAGGCTGAATTCCACGGCGGAAACCCAAACGAGATCGCCTGCGTGGAATGGACAAGGAAGACGCTGGCGATTGGCCTGTTGGCTCATGCRTTGCTGCGTCTTAGCCATTTGGTCTCGTGCCTTGACAAGGAACTCTTGCATCCGACGCAAGAAAAGAAGATGGTCGTCGCTCTCGACCGCTCGTGGAATGATTGTGTCCAACGGAGAAGTGACCGGCGAGTCGTGCTCGAACTCGAAGGGCGATATCCCGATAGCCGGGTGGATGGACGAGTTATATGCCAACTCGACAGCCAGCAGCCGCTCAACCCAATCGTTTTGGTCGGGACAGATGAGAGTGCGAAGGAGAAGTTGTGCGGTCTGATGCGCCCTCTCCGTTTGGCCATCGGTTTGGGGGTGGCGAGTCAAACTTGGCTTGAGAGATGAGCTCCATCGTTTGATGAGCGCCAACCAAAAATCGGACATGAACCGAGTGTCGTGGTCGCAAACGATTTCCTTGGGGTAACCCTTGGTTCGAATCCAACCGGCGTGAAGAACCTCGGCCAACTCCGGTGCCTTGGCATGATAAAGGCAAGGCAAAAACATGGCGAACCTGGTGAGTCGGTCAACCACCGTGAGAATCGCATCCACACCGGTCTTGTGCTTGGGGACCGGCCCGGTAATGTCCATGGCAATCACTTCTCTTCGGCGCAAGGGGACCGGTCATGGTCGCAACTCGCCGTACGGACAATCGTTGCGGGATTTGCAGTGTCGGCAAACCTCTCATGACTCGCAATAGCATGCGATGTCGTCGAGAAGGCCGGACCACCAAAAGCGCTCACGAAGTCGGCCAATCTTGCGATCGACTCCTAAGTGTCCGGTGGCGGGAGCATCGTGGAACTCGCTAAGAACCCGTGTATCCAAGTGAGAGTCACTCGGTACGCAAAGGTCCTTCCCACGCGTGTGGACAAGCAAGTACCCCTCTTGGATCCGGTAGTGAGAAGGCGCCGGATTAGGAGAGGAGCAATTCACGTACTTGTCGCGAAACTCGGGGTCGGCTTGGTAGTTGGGGATGAAGCTCTCTCGTAGGTCGTCGTCAATCTCGAAGGTTGAATAGACTGCGGTACAATGATCCGGACGTCCTGAAAGAGCATCCACAAAACGGTTAGACTTCCCCGGAATTTGATCAGGAAAGAAGTCGAATTGGTTGATGAAAGCCATCCAACGGGCGATGGTGCTATTGATGTGGTTGTGGCACATCAAAGTGTGATCGGTCTTAATCTTGTGATGGAGAGAAAATATGACGGGCGTAAAGAAGTTCAACTCTATCTGACTAGAGAGTTGTCAGTAGAGGGACTTCATGTTCTCTGACTGAGTTGCCTGTCCAAGATAACTACCAGGAAGATAGGCATAAAGAAGTTCAGCCTTGCCTGACCAGAGAGTTATCAGCATGGGTCACTTCGTGTTTCTTGACTAAGTTACCTATCTTCAGTCCCTGAGGAAAGGGACCTCTCTGGGTCAGTATTTCTATATTTCCTTGAGGCTGACGGAAGGTCTCTTGGGAGCATTCTTGGATGAGGGAAGGGACCTCTCTGGGATCAGCACTCTGCATCTCCTGAGGCTGAAGTGAGGTCTCAAGGAAGTGCATTATCGGTTGTTGTTTGTTGCTGTTCAGTGTCTCTTGAGACGGAAGTGACCTCTTTTGAGAAATGTCTGTTTTGTTACTTGGGGCATGGACTAACTGACTGTGGGCTTGAGATGTTTGTTTGGCTGTTTGTGCCTGGGATTTTTTTCTCTAACCTAAAGATGCATTGATTGTTGGGGCCAGCCAGAGCCTTACCACGGCAGGTTGCAATCTGGTGGGGTCAGCAGGTCCCCGACGTGAGTGTCGAATTTCGTAGTTGACTGAGGCTAAGATTTCGAGAATCTGGCCTGCGACGTCAAAATGGTCATCTGGAACCCTACCGCAAATAGAGGATGCAATCCAGTGAGGTTCGCCAGAGCCTGGAACAGTGGTTAGACCGGGTCCCATGTTCAAAAATCTGGGTGGGGCAGCCAGCGCCCTAGGCCGAAAACTGGTGGGTGAGCCGGTCCCCGACCGCAGTGGTCAAATCCGCGTACGAGACAGTTTGATTGACAGGAGGTCTACTGTCAGAGGGTGACCAAGACCCGCTATAGTGTGGGTGTCCAGGCGAGAGTGTCAAAGGGTCGTCATACTCGAGTAGTGGGTATGGTGGTCTTGACCTGGAGGCAGATTAAAGGGGCCGTCAAGGCAAATGGTCTGATTGGTCCTGGCCTGAGGCGGGTCGAATGAGGTATGTTAGACTAACGGGAGGTATGTCGTTCCTGGCCAGTGGTGGGCCAAAACCAAGGCAAACAATAACTCTTGGGTGTGAAGAATTGTTTGTTTACTTATTGTTTTACTATGGGTTTTATATTTATTTATTTTGTCTTATTACTGCATGGTGATTGCCTGTCAGAGAGTCTGCATGTTGGGGATATGTTTGGAGGGCTGTGGAATTCGCCGTTTTGCAGGATTATGCAGATTTTTCTAAAGCTCCAATGCCAGAAAAAAGAAAAGGGGTTTGGTATCCCCAGAGTTGCTTGAGGAATTAAGAAGACGTCTCACTCAGGCCAGAGAACAGAAAAAGGGTTTGGTATACCCTATCCCCAATATGACAGACAGAATGAGTGTCCTCGACGTTAATAACACATGGACAACATCCCCGGCGTCACTGTTAAGACAAGGAACAAGGTAACTTTTTCGCTGAAAGAGTTCAGCGGCAAGTCGTGTCAGCAACAGATGAGAAATCCTTCTTAAATTTATTTGGTGCCCGACAAGCGGCCTGGTTCACGAGGAACCTGCATCCCTGGCTTAAGGTATTCAAACTCTCAAGTCAGGGACGCTATGAAGTGTAGCATGAGCAGAAGAACAGAGAGAAGGGATTCAGAAATTCGAGAGGAAGTCACACTTATATAGAATATAGAGGATGGTCATGAATTCAACTTGAAATAAAGAAAGAAGAAAAAAAATTCAAAAAATAGTGCAATTATTAAGATGAGAGGGAGAAGAAACTGTGCATGCAATAGAAGGCGAAGGGGCTGGCACTAGGGTCTTACTTGCCGCAAGGGTAGTGGGGACTCTGGGAGAGTACGGAGGAGAGGAGAGACTTGGGGCGCCATAGCGGGCCTCAAACTTCTTTTGGAAGTACTTCATCTTCGTCGGCGATGGAGTTCTCTCGTGCCAACTAGCGAGTGAGTGGCGCGGGTATGGTTTTGTGTAGCCATATCCTCGGGCCTCCTCCTCTTCCTCTGAACTGTACTCGCGCCTTGCACGAGGTGGCGGCTCTTCACGAGCCTTCCCTGCTCTTCCACCTCTTCCTCTTCCCTGTCCTCTACGTGCCTCAGGCATGATGAAAGAAGATCGAAAAGATAAGGGACGTGCGGTGGTAGGGAACGGGACTGGGATAGCACTGCAAGAGGAAGGAGAGGTACACTAATAAAGACGAAAGGAGAGCGGCTAAGGATTACGCAGAGAAGAGCGCTGCAAAAGAAGAAAAGCGTTATCATAGGTCCGCTCTACGAGAACTTTGTTGTGATGCACACTGAAAGTGAATAAGAGACACGGACAATCATTTTTCTTTTATACTAGCGCGCTGCTTCACTTTGGCCCAGCGGGGACGCTGGGGGGGGGTTTGGTATCATGTCGGAGGGTGCGGTGTCCAGACCCTCCGCTGTCCGCCATATGACAGTTCATGGAGTCCCACTGTGTACCAGCTCCCTGCTCGGATTTCACAGCAAACCAGCTTATTGCTGACAGACTTCGTGGGTATTAGGCACTCTATTTCTCGGTCCTATATCGTGCCACGCGCTCCGCTTCTCAGTAATGTACCAAACTTGCCTGTGGTCGTTGTCGTCCAGGGACGTGGGGGTAGCGGGTCGGCGCAGTTTTTCCTACTGCACCTCAATCCCTCCTTGTCAGATTAGGGGTCGTGTGTACAGACAAGGCAGTTACAATCGAGTAAGGAGCGAAAATAAGGGAAAGAAAAGAGAAAAATTAAAGAAAAGGGGGGGAAAATGAGAAAGAGTCATGTAGCGAGCCCACATCCTGTCGTTGCTTTCATTCGAGTCATCTAAGTGGAGCCAGGTTGTAGTGGCGCTACGTTTCCTTTTAATTTCCCTTTCTAACTATTATTATTAATCTTACTACTATTATTATTATTACTATTGTTGCTATTGGGGATTTCATCTTTTGCCTTCCGCCGCTTCGCAGGGGAGCGGACAACCGATGTTGAGATTTTGCATGAGCAGGCCCAAATTGTTCGACTTCTCGCGTACCGGTTGCTCTGTCTGCTGTAAAGTAGACCCTAAAAGAGGGGTAACCCGCGGCCGCATTGGTAGGAGGCTTATCACCTTCCGCGGGAGGTCATAAGCCCCCTCCTTGCCATCGGAGACGGGTACCCATTCGTGGTAACCCGTAAGCGCCCTATGAAGGAAGTGGAGTGTCGGGTGATATCCCGTCATGGGACCGCTGAGCGCCGGACTGTCTGTCTTTCCAAAGAAAGTTGAAAAGACAGATAGATGTAGACTGAGGAGTCGTGTTCGCGCAGTGACCGTTAATGTCCTACTATGTTCCGTTTTGAATTATTTTATGAACTTGTGAACTACAAATTATTAGAATATCTAATTTTGTAAAGTCATTAGAGTCTCTCATTTAGAACGCAGGGATCGCGGCGTGTAGCGATCCTATAAGAGTGGAAGGGGGCTAGTTCTCGATTACTGACTAATAGAAACATGTAGGCAACTCCGCTCTGCTAACGCTGGTAGCCTAAAGGAGGAGGGCAGAACGGTGAGGTGCCCCGTTGGTGAATTATTTGGGTGCTAATGACCCAGGTATCTGGCTATTCTAAACACGGCTATGGCGTACCGAAATGGCCTGGGCAGCTATAGGCCAAGGTACATGAAGTACTCTTGGATGTGGGAGCGCGAGGATGAGAAAGGTACTTTGGTCGAGACAATACTATCCTACAGAAGGCCTACGGGAGAAGTAAGGCTGAAGATAACGTTTTTGGTCACCGGGAGCAGGAGATGAGGAGAGACGAGGGACTACAGGCAGTGATTACGGAGGCGCGCACATGACTCATCGACTGGGACCATGACCAGGGAGGTGTAGCGCGTCGATTGGAACTCCGAAGGGGAGTCTGAAATGAGTGACGCGGACGCAACTCAGTCCTGGCACGGCTGGGATCAGTGGCGACAGGACCACCAGCCGAAAGGACCAGTAGAGGACGGCCCAGAGGCCAGCTCACGACGGGGAAAGGACCAGAGCCGCTAGGACTTGAGAAGCAAAGGTCAACGGGCAAGGACAAAGGGCGAGTGGTTACGAGAGAGAGAGGGACGCTCGTGACTCCTGCTCAGGGGGTCGATGTGGGTCACGAATCTCTGAGAGAGAGAGAGAGAGGCTGATACAGAGACGCAAACAAGTGCGATCGCCTACGAAAGGCAACTGAGTCACCTCCATAGTGGAGGTCACTCGTTGGTCACGGCGGTCAGTAATATACCTAGCTTTCAGCTTGTGCTCAGCTCTCCTCCTTTCTTCATCATAACCACGGCAGGCATTAGACTGTGCGGACCTGTGGTTGACCGATAAATACTTCTCAGATGAGCAAGTCGAAGGGTCCGTGCATGCTCTTCAGATGGCTCATGCGTGACTCATGCACGATGAGGTCGTTCAGGAAAGAGAAGGAGAAAGGGTTGCACCCGAAGAGAGTGGGTAGTGGTTACCGGGGGGGATATTTTTGATACGGGAGCAGTAGAGTTTCGCTCACTCGTTCTAAGGACCACACGACAACTGTTTTTCTCCTTTTCCTGCTCCGGACACAGATCGAATAGTCCCTCGTTCATATTGGGACTACAGTGATTACCAGCCCTGTGAGTGAGCAGTCAAGAAAACCTTGCGTACGCGCTACGTAGTATGAGCTGGAGGGAGAGAGGCCTGTGAGAGTCACGATCAAGAACAAGAGAGGGGAAGGGGGACGGCGGAGAGAGTGGGTGTGCTCGGTGAGCTTGGGCTACGGATGTCTCCCTTGTTGACATCGTTGTTGGCAAAGTGGAGAGTTGCGCTCAAGAAGGGAGAGAGAGAGAGGGATCAACCGTAACAAACACGGTGTAAGGGACTAATAGCGATTGATGTCAATTGCCTTCGGGAGGACCAACGTCACTGTGAAAGGAGAAGTCACTTATAGGGCGTGGTCGATCCTCTCCTGCACGACGCACACCGTAACTAGGGAGTCGCTCTTGCACATGAAGTATTGTGGGGATCACCGTGACTTCCTCCTAATTGGGCGAACGAACGGAGGGAACCGTTAACCTTTTGTGTGGCACGAGTGAAGTTGGGTGTGATCAAGAAGTCGATCCTAGAGAATGGAGGGGGAGGGTCCTTGTACGAAGGGTCACTGGTGACTCTGCCCTGGCCCGTCTACGGAGCTGCGAGTAGAGTCGGTGAAGTTTGCGAAGAAGGCTATGATCATGAGACACCAGTTCGATTGTGCAAACGAGTGGGAGAGGACACACCCTTGAATTAACGTCGCCTGCCCCTATTCGTTGACCTTGTCCTGGCCAAGTCATGAGGAGATTGGGTGATCAGGTCGAAGAGTTGGTCAAGCGAGTTGGAAGAGCAATGAATTGATCACATGTAATCTTGAGGCAGTATTCAAACCCTGCTTGTCGACTAGGTTTGACGCTCAGCTCTAGATATCGACAACACTCTGTAGCTTGGCCGCCTCGTGAGGTTCTCCAGTAGAGTCTGAGCTCTAGGGAGCCCTCATGTGAGTCAATGGCTGACGCTGCACCTCTCTTTCCCAATTGTCTCACCTCTGTTATTGCGCAGATCCCTCGCCCTCTCGTTTGCTGCAGAGTCGCTGACTGTGCAAGGCTATGATGATCTTATTGGATAACTGAGATTAGTGTTTAAGCTAAGAGAAGAGGGAGTGATGAGACATGTGGTGACTACAGGCAATGGGTGATAGTAGAACGGATCTTTAACAAGAGCAGGAAAGATGTTAGTCGTCAGTCTTGAATGAAAATAAGCAGAAGTGAAAGTTGAATAAAGGCCTGATCATCGCAAGGAAAACCGCCATTTACCAACAGTCTAGTTAATGCTCTCTCCTTGTCAGCACTTAGTATGGTTGTTAAGCTCGCCTGAACATGAGTCTTTATGCTACTTGAGCGAGTCTGAGGTACTTGGTAGTTGGGATGACGGGTAAACTGCGGCTATTGAGGAGGAAGAGAAGCAGAATAACAAATAAAGTGCTTGTCTGCTTCTCCACTCTATGTTCGTTATTTTTCTCGTTTAACTGTAATGCTGTAAGATGTGTCAGGCAATGTGATTGTGAATGGGTCAATCATGCGACAAGTGGATTCTGTCTTGCCCATCTCATAATCATACTACCTGTGAAGTGGGAACACGAGGACACGTTAACTGGGAATCGATTGGCTTGATGACGGTTGTGAGCAAGATAATTACTGTTAAGTTTGAACCCTCTAATTAGCAGGCTATACCACTCTCACGCAAGGGAAATCAGGGGATGCGGTCCCAAAACCAATTTGGGCCTACTCGGTGTTTCTCTATTAACTATGCATGGATGGGGAAAAGGGAAACAATTTTGAGGAGAATTGCATATCTCCTCGCGAAGCTACTACTTGACGGGGACTATAAATACTTTTTTTTTACTTGAACCAAGTCAAAAGATAATCGCCTCTGATGCATCCCTCCATAGGGAAAAGGTGGAAAAGGTCGAGATTAAACCATGATTTGCCTATGAGCAAGCCATGAATTGCATAGAGTAAACCATGATTTGCCTCTGAGCAAGCCATGATTTTCCTGTGAGCAAACCCTGTTTGGTTATCGTATTGTTGGGAGAGCGCGTGCAGTAGGTGAAATTATATAAGACAGTACGTCTCGTCTTGACCGAACACTTGTGTGGGATTAATACAAGTCGTCGAAAACGTCTTTCTTCGAGCTTGAGCTGAGTTTGCACTCATATTCATAGTACTGAGTACAGACTTATCTCGTGCTCAGACTTATTAACCCGGTTCAAGACACGTTTAGAGTTCATAGTCGTCTTTCTTTTAGCTCAGGTTTGGGCTTAACTACATCTGATAAACAAAATTGAGCACCAGGATCAGAAGGAACGTACGATGAGCAGGGGAAATTTTTGTACCCTGGACCCCTGCTTTCAAATGAGGATGATACCGCTGGAATGCCAATGATCAGGGCCCCCGTACTGACGGAAGGGTACTCTGGCTTGAGTAGGAGGGTGCAAAGGCTGATGCTATTCACTAGGCCCTCGTGAAAACCTGTTCTAGTGATGTTGATGTGAACTAAGGCTGAACAGCCCGAGGTGGATAGCATGAGTAATGCATAAACGGTTACACAAGTTACAGTCTTGCTCAGCACCTGGGCAGTTTTGCAGCTCGTCAGAACTCAAACTCATGCACGGGGTAGAAATGGTGCTTCGTATATTGACACCAAAATACGATTTATTGCTAGCGTACCTGCCCAAAACCCAGTTGGCGGGGTTATCATTCAGAGTGACAAGCACCCACTAAACCAGAGCCGATCGTGATCTACCCTGTAGAGGGTTGCGGCGACGAATGGTCAGCTGGGAACTTTAGTAGTGGGCCCTGGTTGTCGACTGTTCTTGCTGAGTTCTGGCTGTGGCTTGTTCATTCCTACTTAGTGTTGGGTTGCTGCTAGAGTGCCTTGGATTCAGCTCGGTTGCCTTGAGCCCCTTTCCCGCCAGATGTGGAGTTAGTATTTGGAGGTGAAACCGAGAGTCCCTTGGGACCTCCATCTATGGGGACGGTTGACGTGCTCTCTGACATTGACGACGAAACTGAGATCAGATTAGCAGAACTGGGGCAGGCCACATCTCGTTGCTTGTAATATAGCAGGGGACGAGTGGTCCCGATATTAATAATGTGCATGGTATGCCTAATAAATATATATATATATATATATATACGATATATATATATATGTAAGATTGCAGGCGTTCGGGACGGGCCGAACGCCCGAACCCGAACGCCCGAACCCGAACGCCCGAACCCGAACGCCCGAACGTTCAGCACCCTCGCTCGATGAGTTCGACCGAACGCGGACCCAAAAAAAAAAAAAAAAGAATTCCAAAAAATCGGAAAAAAATGTATGTTATGCATTAGAATAAACTAAACAACATTTGCCTCAACGTTACTTTCAAATTCTTTACCAAATTTGAAATAAAAATCAGATACTAGAAATAAATAATAATAATGAAAATAAAAACAATAAAACGAGAATGAAATTATCGAGTGGGCCAACACGTTTTTGACACCGCCATCTTTGGTGATTTGCCATTTTTGTTTGGATGTGACAAATGCTATGAAAATTTATATATGTGTATCTTACATAATAGAGAATCTACAAATAAAGTTTGAAAAAATAATAATCTTTTTCATGCCCCGAAGTAAAGATAAAACAAAAAGAGTGAAAAGAGAGAAAAAACAAATTAGTGAGTGGGCAGCAAGTTTTGACACCACCATCTTTGAGGATTTTTCATTGTTGTTTGGGTGCACAAAATGGCTTCAAAATTAAGAGAGAGATACCTTACATCACAAAGAACTCACAAAAAAAAATTCAGAAACAAATAGTAACATTTAGGTGCCAAAATATTTTTTTGCGGGGTCTGAACCCCTTCAAGTTCGGGCCTAGTACGGGGACCCGAACGCCCGAACGTTCGGGGGTCAGCTTAGGGGCCTCCGTACGTTTGGCCAGGCAACCCTTATATATATATTCAGCCTCCTGATGAGTCGGTGAAACTCCGACGAAACAGTTTGTCACAGCCCCTCGTTTGTTGTCCTCTTCTCTCTCTCTGCCTACGGTTTTACCGGGCAGTTCTGTTTGTGACGATATATAT